CTTTTATCAACACAATATGAATCAAAGTCTAAGTAAATAATGAATAATGTTACAAAAACATTATTAGTATAAAGAAACATGACAGACTAACTGGCGAATACACGCCATTTAAAATTTATTTTACACATGAATGTTGCACAGTTTACAAAAGGGTGGGTTTTGGACTTGTTGTATCTCAACATGATGGTTGAATGTGTGCTTTAGAAAAAAAACATCCGGTTAACACGGAAATGTGGAAAGTGTGATTTTACACCCCCTCCATAAAAAGCGAAGGATATGTTTAGTATGTGTGGACAATTTGACCCTATTAAATTGTTCTGTTAAATACATAGGTGCTCTACCATCAATGTGCAACAACTACACACGAAAGAAAGTATCTTGAATTCAATCCTTGCTTTCACCGGTAACCAATGAAAGTCGTGCAATATAAGTCGAAATAGCGACTTACTATCTCGAAATTTCGACTTATTAACTTGAAATTTCGAGATAAGTAACTTGAAATTTCGAGATAAGTAACTCGAAATTTCGAGATAAGTACAATGTAACTCGAAATTTGGAGATAAATAACCCGATATTTCGAGTAAGTAAGTCGAAATTTCAAGTTATTATCTAGAAATTTCGAGAAAGGTAATTCGTAATTTCGAGTCAGGAACTCGAAATTTCGAGTAAGTAACTCGAAATTTCGAGTTAATAAAAAACCTACACCTGGCACTAATGCTCTTCCGTACGTTCAACATATGCCTGTAATGATTTTTATTGATCATATTAAACAAATGAAAATTAACAATTTATTAAAGGAAAAAAACTTAACAGGGAAGGTTAACAAAATCAGCTTAAAATAAATAGAATAACATCGTACATGTATTAATTTTGATGTCTTGATAGTGAAAAACAGAAAAATATGATATACTACAATAAGTAAGTTGAGCATGCTATTTAAAACTAATTGGGCATTGACTGTGCTGATAATTATTTGGCCACATACTTCTTTCATGTAAATGACTTTAAACATACCACTAAAAGAAATGTCGGATTCATGTTAAGTTGAAACCGTGAATTTCTGTTGTTGAAATCGTGATTTAGAGAAGTTAAGATTGTGAACTCGTGCAGTTGAAATCGTGAATTCATGAAGCTAAAGTTGTGAATTCATGAAGTTAAAATCGTAAATTCGTGATTTGAAAGTTGAAATCATGAACTCATGCAGTTGAAATCGTGAATTTATGATGTTGAAGTTGTGAATTCTTGAAGTTTAGATCATACATTTGTGATTTCCGTATGTTAAATGACGAAGTTAAATGACGAAGATATAATCGGGAATTCCTGTAGTTGAATTGGCCCCACTGGTCTTTCGTACCTAAGATTATAAGTTTATGGGTTTCTGTTGAGCTAAACCTTGGGATCACAAGAGAAAGGGGTCAACCGAAATTGGCAAGATATGAGCTGAAATGACCATGTATTGTACGATTTTGGACTCCACGCCGGCAAAAAACCCAGAGTATTCCTGACGGGCATACCTATACCCGCGAGCAGACGGTCAGCTCCATAACCACCCCACTATATGGCATTCTGTTAAATTGGTTATGGGTATCACAGGGGTCATTCAAGGAAATGGCAAAATATGAGCTAAAATGATCATTTATATTTTGATATTTGGCTAATCGTAAGCAAAATACAAGAGCATTTCTGGCAGACACAAATAAACATGCGGACACACGGTCCGACCCCCTAACCATCCAAATATATGAGATTCTGCGAAATTGAGGCTGGACCTCACAGGGGCCAGCTGAAATAGGCGAGATGTTGCTGAAATGACCAACTATAGTACGATTTATGGCTCAACGTCGGCAAAATACCAAAGTATTCCCAACGGACACACATATGCCAGCGGACACGCGGTTAAACTCCCTAACCTTCCCACCATATGGGGTTCTATGCAATTGAGGCTGGGCCTCACAGGGGTCAGCCGGAAATGCCGTGGTATGAGTTGAAATGACCATGTATAGTAGGATTTTCGGCTCAACGTCGGCAAAATACCAAAGTATTCTCGACGGACACACTTATGCCAGCGGACACACGGTCAGACCCTAACCATCCCACCATATGGGGTTCTGTGCAATTGAGGCTGAGCCTCACAGACCATTTAAAGCACGATCTTCGGCTCCACGTCGGCAAAATGCTACAGCATTCCCGACGGACACACCTTTGCCAGCGGACCCACTGTCACTTTTTGCATGACACAAATATTCATAAATTTGTTCCTGGATTATTTTTTCATCTTAAATAGCCTTCATTTTGGTTATTCTGGCCAGCCGGAATAGCCAGAGATCGAGGTGATAAGTAATTTGAAACTACATTATGGAATTAACCAATTGTCTATTGCACAGGTTTTACTGTATATTCTCTGGCTAGCCGATTCAGCCGGAACCGAATTCCGGCTAGCCGGAGTAGCCGGAACAGCCGGACGAGACAAAATTTTGTTCCGGCTGTTCCGGCTGCTCCGGCTGTCTGGCTAACTTCACGAACATCTCATTTAAAGGTTCCTTATCACGTGTTGAGTATTTAATGGTTCCATAGATTTTAAAGATAAAGAAAGCATTTTTAAACTTTTTAAATTTTACCGTTTTAGGCTTTTTGTAATATTTTCGTACTTTCTGTTTTTTTACATCATATGATCAAGTGAATCTTCTAATTACATTTATGTGATAAATAAAATATTATATTCGTGTAGTTTCAATACTAAATTTATTGAACTTGTTGAATAAAACAATATTATGCTCGCCAGAGGCTCGCATAATATGATTTTATTCAACTCGTTCAATAAATTTAGTACTAAACTACACTCATTCAATATCCTCTATTTAATAAGTCATATTAGTCTGTTTTAAACCATGATAAAGCTAGAAACAAAATCATATTTGTTTTACAATGGTTTCCGTAAATTGATTACTTGTTTGTTATGTTATCAAAAAAAAGATATGAATATGAAGTGTTACAAGTGAATAAAATTAGAAAGAAATCACAAACTCAAAAATAAGTTTATTCCACATGCATTTAATCGCTAATCTATCACCTATTAATAATGCTAGCTTCATTGATTTTTATTATTGTGTGAAAATAATTTGGACATTATTAACACTTTTAGAGTCTTAAGTACTAATGATTTAAAAAAAACTAGAACTGTGTCCAAAGGACATTGATGCCCCCACTGACAACATATATATGGTATATAGTGAAAAAATCAACAAAGGGCCATAATTCTGTTAAATTTGGTCGCAGCAAAAATTCCTTCCTTAACTACCATCTACACATTAAGGTTGTTCATCCCTGGAAATTTAAGCAAAATCTACCATCCGGTTTAAGAGGAGTTGCGTTCACAAAATTTCTATATGGTATATAGTGAAAAAATCAACAAAGGGCCATAATTCTGTTAAATTTGGTCGCAGCAAAAATTCCTTCCTTTACTACCATTTACACATTAAGGTTGTTCATCCCTGAAAGTTTAAGCAAAATCTGCCATCCGGTTTAAGAGGATTTGCGTTCACAAAATTTCTATATGGTATATAGTGAAAAAATCAACAAAGGGCCATAATTCTGTTAAATTTGGTCGCAGCGAAAATTCCTTCCTTTACTACCATCTACATATTAAGGTTGTTCATTCCTAAAAGTTTAAGCAAAATCTGCCATCTGGTTTAAGAGGAGTTGCGTTCACAAAATTTCTACATAGTATATAGTGAAAAAATCAACAAAGGGCCATAATTCTGTTAAATTTGGTCGCAGCGAAAATTCCTTCCTTTACTACCATCTACATATTAAGGTTGTTCATCCCTGAAAGTTTAAGCAAAATCTGCCATCCGGTTTAAGAGGAGTTGCGTTCACAAAATTTCTACATAGTATATAGTGAAAAAATCAACAAAGGGCCATAATTCTGTTAAATTTGGTCGCAGCGAAAATTCCTTCCTTTACTACCATCTACATATTAAGGTTGTTCATCCCTGAAAGTTTAAGCAAAATCTGACATCCGGTTTAAGAGGAGTTGCGTTCACAAGATTTCGGGACGTACGGACAGACGGACGGACAGACGTACGGCGTGACGGACGAACGGACAAGTGCAACGCTATATGCTCCCACTCTGTGGGGGCATAAAAACATGTTGCTCTAAATTTTGAAATTTCGTGTCACTAAGTAAAAACAAAAGTAACGGATCCAAAGTAATTGAATATGACTATATAAAGTGTAGCGATGATGATAAAGAGTTATATCGTTCTCTTTTGATATTTAAATAATATATGTCTCACATGCGGTGAAGATAATGTAAAAAGTGTAAATAATACACACAGAAAGAATGCAGCAGCAAAAATGTTTTATCTGGACATAAAACATACCAAATAACCCAAGAATATATTTTTTTATATTTATTAAGTTATCTTTGTAAAAATTTTCTAGCATTTTTGACCAAAAAATACCTGGATTATATTGAATATGACATTTTTCTAAAGCTAAATTATTGTTCTTTTTATCTTTTTTTTTTTCTTCAAAGGTAGCTCTCCTACTGATGCTGTATTTTTACAATTGAATTACATTTCAAGCAGAAAAAAATTATTGCAACGTTTAAACAAGTTGTTTTGATTCGATAAATATAAATGCACTTTGGTTTAATTGATTTAAGATATATTATGCTGTTTTAAATGGTAACAATTATTTAGATTAATTAGTAGTTAATACAGCTCTGTTAAATCTTGTGTTTTAAAGTGATAATATATATTTATTTATATCTATTCATTTGTTGAGCATCTTGAACTTTGTTTGCAAAATGTTTTAAATTCTTGTAAACTCTCCGATATGTCATAGGGATATCAATAGCAAATAGTCTTGTAATCCTATTGTAAACCCTTTTAATAAGATATACCTACTGTTCTCAAACGTTTATACAAAGTGTTATGAACTTTATATGTAATACACCTACCCACATTTTGAAACAAAATAGGATGATATATACTTACATCTAATGTAAATAGTAACCCTCTTTTCCTTCCATCTAGACTGCATGTCTCCATTAGTAGCCCTGCATGTATAATTTCCAGCTGATGATTTTTGTACTTGGCCCAATGACAGAGTATCTGTATTGACGATATTATGACCATCTTTTGTCCATTTATATATACATACAGGAAAACAGTCAGCCTCGCACTTAACATCGGGTAATATTGTTCCCTCATCAACTGTATATACTGATTTCCCATTTGTTACTTTTATCAAATCAGGACCAACTGTAAACAAAAATAAACTAGCGTAATGATTAAGTGCCTGATACATTGAAATAGTGGGAGTTATCCCTTTTAAATCAAAAGATCAATATCGGAATTTGTGATATTTTGTCTCGAGAAGCATAAATTGGGAAAAGAATCCATTTGAACATGAACAAACTGTAAACAAGATTAACGCAGTACAGAGAAACAAATACTTTATTGTAGATTATCGCAATGTCCGCTGATAAAGATTTGTGGTTTTCTGTAACTACACATGTTTAGCAGAAGAAAACAAAAAATATGAAAAATACCAATATCAAAAATGGCAATTTGTTCAACTAAAAAATGTACCTTCTTGCGCGTTTGTTTTACATAATTATTTACTCTCTGAAATACAAATGTAAGTTAAAAACAGTGCCTTATATACGACCAAAGTACCTTAATGATTAATTGCGTCACAATGTGCAAACTGACATCAATGCCATAATAAATATGTATTCGTACGTTGCTCTACCTTATTTTCTGTTAGTCTGTTTTATAGAAAAGGCAACATTGCACAGAGTCTTTTTTACAAAACAGAAGGAATCTTACTCTTTTTTAATTTGACGTGTTTTAAAATTGATTTTCATTTTATTGGTGATGAAAGTTTTATGTATATAAAACAAGTTATAAGTCAAATTACTTTTAATAAAATGTTTGTTTAAAATACTCATTTTGCAACTAAGCATACAATATTAAAGAGATAATGTTTAATTTGTGTAAGCTCAATATTTTATTTATTGAATAATCAGTTTTATCCAACATACAATTATAATATTTCTATATTAAGATTTTGATCAATGTAAAAAATGAAGCACAACTATACAAAAGCAAATACTTAACATCAGAACTGGTTACAATCAAAAGAATTCATCACAAAATCAGGCTTAGGTGTATACTATTTTTCAATTACAGGACATTTGACGAATAAGAATTAGTAAAGCCGTTATTATAAAAACAGTACGTATGTAAAATATCAACTTACATCTAACTTCAATTAGCAACTGTTTTGTTTGTAATGGTTGTTGAGACAGTTTAACATTTCTAGCAGTACATGTATATGTTCCAGCCATCGACTTTGTTAATGGACTCAGGTCAAGCACTGCTCCAGAAACACTTAATGAATTTGGTCCAGACCAACTATAGCTACATTCCCAGCAATCTGCCCCACATGTGATTGGTGCTAGGTTATAGTTTTCATCGTGTCGATATGACACATCGTTTGGGTGGAAGAATATATTTCTGGGTCCATCTGTAAGAAATATAATATATTCTCCTAATTATCAACTTTCTTTATCTTATTCTCTTCCTTACTAATAATCTGTTTTATTTTCTTTTTCCCCAATACAACCGAGAGTGTTAAATAATATCATATATATTCACATGTTATATACGTGATTTGTTTTAGCTATTTTTGTATTATATATAAGAATAAGTTAAACCTATGAATTATTACCCTAGCAAATTATTCTTGATGTGATCGGCTGTGAAACAGAGTTTCCTAGAAAACGAATTACTAACAGTAAAACACATCACGTCACAATATATAGTTATCATATCACAAGTTGTTTATCTTCGCTTGCAGACTGTCGTAAACAACATTTTTACATATATTGCATGGAATCACTACGACATGTTTGAGATGAAGTCATTTTGCAATGAAAATATGATGGTTACCCCTTTAAAACAATAACATTTTTATGTGTCAACAATTTCACTCATAGCAAAATTACCTCTTTAGCATGATAACTCAATTTTAAGGTAGAATAAGGGACAATTCTCATACTGTAAGTCTATGGGAAAAATAAAATACGAAAATCTAACCCTTTTCACGAAAAAAAACGCAGAATTTTTACATCGGAGAAGAGTGAATTCACTTTATACCGGAAAGGAAAATTTGTGCCGAAATTTAATAAAAAAAGAAAAAAAAGAAATGTGTACAATTAGATAAAAACTTAATATGTTAATTAATCAAACGAAAACAGGTGAAATAAAGTAATTTAATCGGCAGCGTGAAAGTGATTGATTAAAAAGAATTCATGAAAACAAACTTTTTTATTTTAACTTTTTAAAAATGGCGTTCAAATTGAAGGTTTTTAGCCGCTTTTTAAGATTCAATTTGATTGGCCAAATTAATTTTTGAGTCCAGCTCAGACAGGATAATCATGTAAAAATCCGGAAGCCAAGCCTCGGTTAAAATTTGGATATATTTTGAGTTTTATGTTTTTTTCTATTGCTTCCTAAGTAAAATCCTTACGTTATACCGCGAGCCGGCAGAAGACGTCTGGACGAATTGCTTTTTAAACAAGCTCATAATATGAATCAATGAATTGAAACATTATAATATATTCCTGCGTCTATGCTCTTTGATCTAATGGCCAATATTATTGACCTTTTGAACTAAAATCGGGTGTTGGAGTTCCCTCTTATGAAGGTGTATTGGTGAACATTCTTGTTATAAAACACACGTTTGATTTTATACTGCCTGCCTGTTGTAAAAAAGTTAAATGTATACTTACAAACTACATTCACAGTTAAATCTTTGCTTTGTAATGCACCACCAGTCCTTGTTGCTGTACATCTGTATGTTCCAGCATCTGAACTCTGAAGCCTCCCAAGGTTTAATAAAGCTGAGCTACTAACAAGTGTTCCTGTTTCTGTCTTAGTCCACGTAAAACTACATGTAGGATGACAGGTTGCTGTACAAGTTACTTGATTAAGACTTTCATTTTCATCTTTCTCATGGCTTGTTTCACTTGGACTAAATGCAACATTATCTGGACCATCTGAAGATATACATTTTCAAAACCTTTTTGTTACCTTTGCTAATTACCCTTTTATTAGGGCATTTCTGACCATAAATGTCTCAACATATAGAAATGATCTATTCTAGAACTACAGAAAAGATGACAGGTTATAAATCACTTGATTACGATTCTTATTTCCATTTTTTCTGATAGACTGCATCACTAAATATAAAACAATCTTGACCATCTGATATTTATGATATTAGTCATAAAGTTTTTCGACAGGTTATGAAATATAAATAATGTCAAACAGGTACATGTTAACAATTAGAAATTTCCTTCATCGTACGTAACAAACAATTACAGGTTTATAGCTTGTACTTCATTAAACATTCTTTAGTCTTACATTTTGAAAACACTTTAAAATTAATTTCATGTAAGTTATAGGTGGAATCAAATTCAATTTACTTGTTAAGAAAATATCCTAAAATTGTGTCATTTTATTCTATTTTATAAACCACATAATTATTTTAATCACAGCTAAATGAAACACTGAATTTCTTCTTGTTCACTAACTTCCAAACTTCTGACTCCTGGAAACCAAAAAATTAGACCATTATTGCTAGTCCAACAGGTTTTTATTTTTTAGAGGTTACAGGTAAATCTTATGTATACCACGCTTGTTATTTATAGGTTGTACAACACACTTTAAGTTACAATATCTTTAAATTAGAATAATTGCCTAATTTACAATATATAATCCAATACAAGAAACAAATAACACACTTTAAAATATATGAGAAAACTTAATTGAGATGACGTCAATATAATTAAAATGTTAAATAAATATGTACTTAATCATATTTTATTTTCATTAACAAACTACCAACACAAGCTGTAGTGGAAAAGAAACCTTTTTGTATATCCGGCAGAATAATCTACCATTCTCTTTCTAGACAAAATGATTAAATACTTTTATCACAAATGAAATTTAAAACTACTTTTGTTGTAGAACACCGTGTGTATCCAGTAACGCTGGAATGTGAATATCACGCACGATTCGTGCAAAAAGTAAAGCAAAAGTGTGCAACAAATGACAGTCGTATGCGCTATTCCTTTTAATAGTTTGGAAAAATAAAAAAAAATATTTTGGCCAGTTTACTTACCGCTTTGGAAATCCTGTCAGGTATCAGCCACATTTCTACTTTACGTTTTGAACGAATCGTGCGTTATTTTCACATTCCAGCGTTACTGAATATACACGGTGTTCTACAAGAAAAGTAGTTGAACTAATATTTCATTAAATGTCATTAGTGTTAAGGTGATAAAAATATTTAATCATTTGTTTAGAAAGAGAACTAGGAAATCCGAACCCTCGTGTTTGCGATTTGGGATTGATCTATCCTCTATCACGCCTGGTAAATGGTAGAGCTACCTTTTTCGGAGATATACGGTAAATCGCTCTATCGCTTCTTCCCGCTAAAATCAAATGTCTAGTGTTTTCATTTTTTAAATATTTTATAAATTCTACACTAAATATCGAAAATCGGAGAATGCTATGCCATGTAGATTTGATTAAAGTTTCCAAAAAACGTAAAGTTGTTGTAATTGTGTTTGAAATGTAGTTGTGGCGGCGTTTCCAAGTTCGCAAATTTAGCGTTGAAAGGACCGTTTAATCATGAAACAGATTATTTTTCCTCAAATTTTCATCTAAAGAGCGATTCAGATTAAGGACAAATACGTTTCCAGTAGATATAAGGTCTAGAAATGAAATAAGATTGCAATCAGATCAAAACATTAGATAATAAAGAAAATGTAGGATATATGTTATGGGAGACAGCTCTGTCCAGAAGGAGGTAGTCCTGTCGCTAAGAATACATACAAAGTGTCTGATTGTTTGGGTAAATGTTTGTGTATATTTTATTAATTATATTTATCACGACACAAAAAAAGTAATAAAAACAATATTATACTAATGTAATACTAAAAACGTATATCATGACGTACTTTGCATAAAAACATTAACATTTACAGCGTTCAAATTGTTATCGACTCATTTTTACTTTGTATATGTGATAAACAGCATACTGTATTATCTCTATTTGTGTAGTATTAAATGAAGTATTGAACCTGCGCTCATTCAATATCCTTTCAGTTTATACAGACATAATCACTTTCCACGTTACATTAAGAACTTAACTTAAAAGTACATGTTTTAAAAGACTTTAACTTTTTGTACAAAACTAACATTACATAAACAAAGTAAATGTTTGTCTGTTTCAGATAACTGAATTTACATCGAGTATATCATGGCACGAGTAGTTTTTTTCTAATGTACACCGATATCAAAATCCATAAGGTAATATATACGATATTGTATTTTAAGATACGACGAAACTCAAAAGTCACATCGAAATTCTCCGGAATGATCTTAAAAAATAAACATTGTCATGAAATATTTTTGATGATTATAAAAGTATAATGTCAAAACAACCGTATGCGCCTTTTCACTTTTTTTAATTTGATGTACAACAAAGATATTAGTTCATTTCTTTTCCTTGGTCTCGTTTCGGCCACAGAATTGCACGATTCTGCATTTCTTATTTTCACAATGCCTGTGTTATTTGCACCTCACCTGTTACTGTATATTCAAGATTTTGAAAGGAAAACATGATTATAGATTTCTGACTAGCTGGAAACAATGTAGATACTAAAGTACGTTAGCTAAAATGGCAACTCACTGGGCATTCTAAATAGAGAACAAAAAAATGTTTCAGTAACCTTTAAAAACAAGTACACCAAACGCTCAATATATATTTCTTGTCCATACTACTATTCTCCCATTTGAACGGTTACTATGTGACGCTTCAAGCATTTAAGCCCATCTCACACAGGACACACGGCTTATACGGTTAGCCACCCGTGTAAACCGTACATACAACCGAACTAACCGTGGCGTTATCCGAGTTACACTCGGGTCATTCGAGTGTGTCCGTGTAAGCCGTGTATGATTTTTAAAACTTTTAAAAAACTGGTACGGATGCCATGTCCGTGTATGACCGTATAAGCGACCGTACAAGACCATAAGAGACCGTGTGAGACCGTATGAGACCGTATATACAGCCGTTTGTGAAGTCCACTCCACGAGTATGCCCGACCGTATCAAGGTCGTATATAAATCGTATGGAATCGTTCGAGACCGTCCCCAAGTCCTACATCCAACACACGATTAACTCCCGAATGTCACAAGATCACGGTACGATTCAAACGGGTGCACACACGGTTTCATACGATCGCCATACGACCAATACGATTCATGTTCGAAATATACATGGCCGACACGGTATAGTACGGGTATACTAGGTCTCACACTGCCTCGTATGGTCTTACACGGCCTCTACGTCAGCAAGAACGGTACAAACACACACACACAACTACCTGCTGCCACCTTACCAAGAGTACTTGCTGCATCACACTAGAATGTATCCAAAGAAGAAGGTTTGGGAGCACAGAAGGAATACAAAAAGGGCCATTTAGGCCCACCGACTACGCCAACTTATTGAACCTGATGAACTGAAGGACCAACCGGCAATACCCATGTCTCCCAGTGATAAAGACTCAGATGCCAGCTCGGTGGACCCTCCAGCAACCGCCGCACCCAAGAAATAAAGACACATTTTATATTGCTTAACATTTTATTTATTGATGTTAATTATATATTTATAGGAGTTCTTCGTTGAAAGTTCGAAAATTTATGAAGCCAAGTCATCAAAATGGGTAAATTTATATCAAAAGATACACGAATGTGTGATAATTCGAGCATAACTCGAACAAAAGTCGGCGGGACCCTAAGTAAACCCTGTGAAGGCCGAGTAAATCGAGTAAAAGTCGTGTTTAATCGTACCAAACCGTACTAGACCGTACTTGGAACCTTACAACAATCGTATGTATTCGTATGCAAATCGTGTTCAAACCTTGCTTGACCGAGTATATCCGTGCTTTATTCGTACATACTCGTGCTATATTCGAGTCTTATTCGTGCCAACTTATCCCAAGGCACGGTTGGAGCCCAATATTCGTACTAGTCAACCCGTGTATAACCGAGTATATTGTATGGGAACCGTGTGCCCAACCGTGTTTTGTGTGAAACGGGCTTTAGGCATACTAAATAGTTTTGAGCAATGTATACATTCTGTGTTCTTGTTAGGTAATTGTGTGTATTTTTGAAATGTGAAGTCTCAGCTTGTACACAGTGTTCTTATTTGTACAGCCTACTACTCATACTGAAGTTGGGATAAAAGTAAGATCAATTCGTGAAAGATGAAGCAGGAATAACTGCTAATATAAAGCAAATATTGTCAAATAGTTGATATCTTTCTTCATAATAATACCCGATGTATCAACATCCTAAAGATCTTTTTCACCGAAAACTTTTTACATTCTTTGCCCATATTATTTTGGTCCTCTTTGAAACCATAGAGCTATCTCGTTAGCGACAGGACTACCTCCTTCACGACAGAGCTGTCTCCCAGAAAATTTTAACTGTATTTTCTTTATTAACTAATGTTTTGATCTGATTTCAATCTTATTTCATTTCTAGACCTTAGACGTTTTCTGGAAACCTTAATCAAATCTACATGGCATAGCATTCTCCGATTTTCGGTTTACAAAATATATAAATAAATAAAAACACTCGACACTTGATTTTTAGCTTTTTCTGCATTGGCTCGGAAGTAGCAATAGAGATATTTATAGTATATCTCCGAAAGAGGTACCTCTATCATTTACCAGGCGTGTCTATCTTACCCAAAAATAAATTATATTTTTCGTACTACTCAAGTAATACAAGTCGCGTCTTTAATATGATGTCATTCACGCGCGCCTTTTGTCAATGACTAGAGTTTATAAGATGACGTTTTTTGCAGCAATGAATGAAGTCCATACACCGGCTGTCGTCACTATTTATCGGAAACTGATTAAATCATGTTTTACTGTAATATGTAAATAATAATATTCACCGATACATTGGTTTTCAAAATTATAAAAAGCAAAATGATCGGGCCAATGTTCCTTGAAAATACCGTAGTAAACAGTTACCCGGGAAGTCGGTGTAAGATAGTTGCAATTTTACACGCCACGTGCAGTACTATTGTACATATAACGACGCGTTAACGAAAGGGGGCGTACGCTACAATGCAGCTCCTTATCATGTAAACAACTCAGATATTGTCAATTACAATTTGCATTGTATAGATTATTGATGTTGTTGGTCATTCAAAATATTTTCTTTTCTCTAGATTTATATGTACAATAAAATGGTATTTTCACTGCATTTCGGTCTATTTGAATAGAAAAGTTGGTTTATTTTATGGCAAGCAAATGCTTTTGTCGAGAATACATTCATTCTTTAGCGGCACGTATAGTTAATGTGACCTCCCTCCGTGACCTCTTAAACAAAGTCAACATGACTGTAAACCAGAAAAATGGTATAAATAGTAGTAAAACAGATTCTTCTAATAAATAATTGCAAACGATATTTATGTTCCTGTCTTATAGCTTTAGTAAAGAAATTTCCTAAATGATAGATTAAGGATTGTACATAAATTTGGAATAATTTAAATCTTACATGCAAAGAACTTTTTATTAATAGAAACAGTGTTTCCAGAGCAAACAAACATTTAATATTCTCAGTGTGCCTCTTGTTAATAACATTAAGAATGAATGTTTCAAGGTTCAGCGTTACCGGTCGCCACAAACGTATTCGTTTGTTGTTTATCAGATGACAAAACATAATCGTTTAATGAAATACCAAGTGTTAGATTAAAAACTTCTAAAGTACCAAATATTTTTGCCAAATTACTTCACAATCTAAAAACTATGACTCGATTGGTAAGGATCAATGACCATATTAATGAATGTCACAATTATCAATGTCAAGTCTGATTAATCAGCTCCTGTGTACTACAAATCATTTTTACAAGCGCATGGTTTTACTAAAGTATTTCTTAATCAATCTTAGAATCGTTGACTGGAAACCAAAATTACACTTTAGAAGATAAAGTGTGAGACGTTTTGGCGTGACCCCGATTTTTAAACTACAAACATTGGTCTTGCATTCGACATATAGTTTTAATGTACCATATATTTATCAAAACTTGTTCAAAATATCTACATAAATGCTCATCAATGCAAAGTTATATAACGGACATACGCCTACGTACAATTATATCATAAATATTTAAAATGTGAAATGTGATTTGACACGAACACAAATAGTTGCAGGCAATTAGGCTTGGAGTTTCAAAACTATTCATAAATGACTTTACATGCGGAATATTCTCTCAAGGTGCATTTTATTGTGCTTATTTATTTCTTATTAACAATCAATAATTACCATTTAAGTGTGGCAAAAATTATAGGCATAAAATAAAATGTTTTTGACATTAGCAAAGCATCAAAGCATAATAATTATTAGGTCTCGAAAATGAAAAAGTGTCAGTTTTTTTGTTTTGTTTTATGTTTACACATTCTAAGGTCATGTAAAACTGAATTGACTTCTATTAAACAGTTTCGTCATCAAGTCTATGTTAAAAGATGCAGCGACACTACTGACTTATTAATGGATTCTGACATATGATTATGATTAGCACCAAATGTAAATTTATCACTTCTGTGTGATATGTACTATAAGTGACAAACACATTCTGACTAATATATAAGATAAACATACAATAAACATCAAACGAGAATCTATCACTTCTGTGTGTTGTATAAGATACGTGACATAAGATCTGTTTACAATATGCATCAAATGAGAATGTATCACTTCTGTTTCTTTTATTGTATAAATGATATAAGATGTACTAAAATAAAATTCAAAAGACAATGTATCACTTCATTGTGTTGTATAAAATAAGTGACATAAGATAAACTTACAGTAAACATCAAATGAGAATGTATCACTTCATTGTGTTGTATAAAATAAGTGACATAAGATAAACTTACAGTAAACATCAAATGAGAATGTATCACTTTATCGTGTTGTATAAAATAAGTGACATAAGATAAACTTACAGTAAACATCAAATGAGAATTTTATCACTTTTGTTTGTTGTATAGTATAAGTGACATAAGATAAACTTAAAATATACATCAAACGAGAATGTATCACTTTTGCTTGTTGAATAGTATAAGTAACATAAGATAAACTTACAATAAACATCAAGTGAGAGCGTATCACTTCTACTAGATGTATATCCCCCAGTTGCAACTTCTGTAGCTGTACATGTAAACTGTTTATTGACATCCTCCTTTACAATGTTTTTTACAGTAAGTTTATCCTTACTAGAAGTGTATGTATATTTGGCGCCACCTGGATTGTCTGTGGTGTCAACTCTCCAGGAGTATGTCAGACTGAGGCTGTGGTTACTGGGTGTGGTTGTTGATGTACTGCTACATGTTAATGTTACACTCTCTCCAACTGACGGTGCTTTATTTACTGTTACTGTGGGCTTTCTTGGTGCTCCTGAAATTAATTTTGTTTTACTTTTGACACAATCTTTCCCAACGTGATTACATGTAGCTTTTGTGGTATACTGCGAACAAATTATACCATGTACCTAATTTAATGTTATTTGTAGAAAAGTATGCATATATTAATTGTCACTTAGCTATTACGGAAGAACGAATTGTAGGCTTACATTTATTAAAGATAATCATGTTTCGATAGAAAATTATTTTACATTAAGTTAGTGTTTAACAAAAAATAATCAAAACATATTAAATTTTAGGCGCGCAGTTTAAAACCTAAGTTACACTTACAAAGAGCACTTTCTAGTAATAAAATATAAAAAAAGATTTATTAACATCATTGCAAATATAGTATTTCTAAGAATGTAAACACTTAATTTATTATAGATCAGTCAATGATTAATAGATCAGGATGAAGAAATATCTTTATGATCATTTGGAAATAATTTATTATGCTTTTATTGGGAGATATTTGAAAACGGGAGATCCCTCCGGAGCAAGTAAAACTAACGATATAAGTAAATTACAGCCTCACTCGAATAAGGCTGTTCAAATGAAACATATTTAACGCTAATCCCTAACACAAGTGTAGAAGTCATTTAATCTTTGTAATCGAAATCAATGCTACATTTAGGCAAAAGAAATATAGCAAGACTGAGATTAATTAAAAAGAAAACTTTTAAACGCTGCAAAAACAATGCTTAGTTATGAAAACAGGATACAGCACAACAACACAATTATCTATAGTTTATAGATAGGTCAATTTTGATTAGAATTTATAGATATATACATATAAAATAAGCTTTTTTAATAAAGACATTTATCAAAATTTGAAATATTAATTGTATCCAACAATGATACTGAAAGTATGGATGTTTTGAACAGATTATGTGGAACTTTCGACTCCTATTGTTATTTTTTGGAAGGGTATTTAAGTAAAATTTCCATTCATGTTAATAATTATTCTTACATTGTAAAGTGAAATCCTTTCATGTAAATGACATATTCGTGCATGTTCATCAAATGGATGCAATGGTAAATTAATATTCTAATATTCTTTGTCCCGGTTTCTTATTTATATGTCCCATTTTCTTAAGTGTTATATGGAAAAGATAATCAATAGTGCAAACATATCATTTTCTCACATATTCTGAGCGCAAAATGTATTATACATAGTTTGTAATTTACACTTTATGTTGGTGTTTTAAATTGTTACGCCGTATTTCCTTCCCTATGCCCTAATTTGCTAATCACTAACTGTGATTTTCATAATACACTTTACAAATGTTATATGTATTCTCATATTCGCATATTCTATAAAACATCATTAAAAGTTATATAATATCACTTGGAAGTTATAATAGGAAACTGGCCTCGTACACATTCAAAAGTTACTATTTACAATTATTAAGAGGGTAACAAAAATATTGCTATCCAACTATATAGAAATTACAACAAAAAAGAGACCAGAAATACCGATTCCCTTTCAAAACAGAGGTCGCTTCAATCGTTACTACGTTATGGCATAATGGTTTTCCCAGGTGTTTCCCACTTCTATAACGGAAATTTTTCGAATGCTAACATATTGATTTTTTCAAATATTGCGAATTTCAAATTTCAATTTTATATAAGGTATATATGCTTAAAAGGGGAGTAAACCAACAAACAAGCAAAACCCCAATTGCCCAAGTACACATGCCGATCTACATTTTTATAAAGTTTGTTGATTCAAGCTCATACACGTGACACAACATTTCGGAAAGGATTTCACAAACTCGAGGGCATTATCTCTACAAATACTGAACAAAATATACAAGCTATACCAAAATTGCAAAACTAAACATTCTGACAAACATGCTTCATGTTAAATACATTAAGGCTATAGGCTACGCGCGACACGAGTTTCAAATTCCAAATTTTTACTATGTCAAGGGCAATAGTTCCTACATAAATAATCAAGCAATTTCCCAGATGCACAATTTAACATTTTGATCAACACTCCTGCAAATTGTGTTGTCCTAGCTCAAGCACTTTTAGGGGCAAACGTGACACAATATTTGCTGTTTTTACTCACGAAATGGGCAATTACTATTCGACAAATACTGAATTAAAATATAAGCAAAAGCTCAGGTGGTTGCACAGCTACACATACTTAGCACCATTTTGTTTCATGACTCTAGGTCAAATGCATTTTAAGCTAGGCGCGACAAAATTTGAAAATTGCATCTGTTTAAAGAGATGAAAATACTACATGTGTTATACCTACCTAATATGTACAGACAGTTACATTTTGTTGAGAACCCTGTCGCGGAACATGTGTAAACTCCAGCGTTGTTTTGTTGAACATTAGTCAATGTAACAACAACATTGCCAGCATTATTTCCTGTTATACTGAAACCTGACAACGCGTCAGTTGTTGAACTCTTGTCTGTATTGTATGTTATACGAGCCTTGATACTATTATCATGAAACTTGATATCAAATATTCTTGGTGAATTTAGATTTGTAAGGTCAGCAGAAAACTGAAGAGCAGCATCAGAGTTGACACGACTGTACATTTTTCTGATTGGTGATACACATGGCCATGCTTCAACTGGAAAAAACCGGATTATTTATAGTATAAAGAGATGAATTGCATGAAACAATAAGTGTAAAAAAAACACATTTGCAAACTGCTCACTGTTGATCGTTGATCATTGTATTTAAACGAAACTATTTATTTGAATGTGCAGCAACATATTTTTAGCATGTGTAAACACACATCCTATGCAGGAAATTAATGTATTATAATAAGGAATAGACCTAGCTATATAATGTACTTGCAAAATGTTACAGTTATTAAAAGTTCGAAGACTGAAAGAAATGTGATATGATTATCATCCGGCTTCCCGATATGGTTTTTGTTAGTGACGTTTAAAAAATAAAGGCACAAATAGCAATAATCATTGTTTCGCTCCGACAGAGCTATTTGTGTTTACGATTATTTTGTCTATGGACTCGATTTTTATCAACTTATCCCTTCGATTTACAGCTAAGATATATTCGGAATCAATTATACCTTCCGATTATGAAAGTCATATATTGGTTTCCACTTCGGTGATTCGCAGTATGTCTTATAAATGAATAAAATTGGGAACAAATTGCACGCCTCCACCGCTTCTGGGAAGGCAGTATAAAATTCAAAACAAAAAATAAAATAGAGAGAAATAAAGAATCCTTAAAAAAAGCCCTGTCGCGACGTAGTATGCTATATCCGGCAGTATGCCTTATGTATTGCATACTGCCGCAGGTTATATGGCATACTGCCGCACCTTTAAATGCTTACTGCCGCAGTATGGCATACTGCATGCTCGCCCATATGGTCTCTTTCCGGTGGCGAGGGTAAACAAACCCAAACACACACAAATGGCATACTGCGTTGTAAATGTGATAGCAGTACGCCATATGCATTTTTAATGGCCTACTGCAACACCTCAATATTTTGAAAATATCAATACAAGGGTTATTAAAATGTGAAATAATTTTAGTATTTTGCATAATTGAAAACTTCAGGAAGATTTTTTTTTCAATATTTAGCGAAATAAAACGCCAAGCCAAACATACCGACCAAACATGTTTATGCTCCCCGAGAGCATATAGTCGCCGCTTTGTCCGTCCGTCCGTCCGAAGCATAAGTCAAATACTATTCAAGTAACTACTTTAAAACTTCGCAGATGGATAGATCTAATTGTGGAGATGTGCAGTGCTCAAGAACCGTAACTCTCTAACATAATTTTTGAGTGATTGCCCTTTGTAGTTTTTCATACTTTACTCTTACTACTAGATGTCAACTTTAAACCCTAGAGGTGGTCTCGGGGAGCAATGTCAGTTCTACCGGCTCTTGTTTAAAAAATGTGAAGTGTTAAACTTAAATACATTAAAAATGTTTTAATGTATATTTTTTAAAAATGAAGAATCAATTGCCATTCGATTTTATGATTTAAAGATTAAGGGTTTTCCTCAACATTTTTTACACATGCTTGTTTACGACACACTATGCCATATGATGTTTTTCTAGTCGACTTTCCTCATATAGCATAGTGCATTGTTGGTCCAGACGAAGACGAAGCAGCAAGCGAGTATTCATATGGAATCTTAGTTCCAAAACGGGTGTTATGACCTCTCTATAACAAAACCTTGTCTTAGGTGAATTAAATAAAAGTTTTTGAGTACGTCCAACACCAGAAGAATAGATGTGCATGTGATTGGACTGTACCGGTCAAATCTTTTAACGCTGCCTCTGATATTACACAGAGTAACATTTGTTTCCACACAATTTCTCTGCAAATTCACACTGGATTTCAATGAAAGTTTGTGAGAATCTTCAATACCAATATGAGATGCGCATGTCTTCGGACTGTCCTGGTCAGACCTTTTATAATGGAGTTATGGCCCCTGAATATTAAGCCTTGTGTGTGCAGTTGCTGTTGTTAGAAATAAACCAGTATTCGGCGGGGGATATAAATTCAACGAATTTGCTTGTTTCAAGTACATTTATCTTGAAATATTGAAGAATCATCTTCACACGACTGTAACAACAGGATAAGACTTTCTAGAGGGGTTCGAGTTAACAGCCTTCAATAATTATAATATTACCGAAAATAATTATAATAATAATGATAATAAAAAGCCGTTTAACTCAAATTGACTGTGACTTTATAAAAGTAACGAATGTAACCATATTTTATGTATTTTAAAAACGTACACAAAAATGTTCGAAAAAATATTTACAAAAGTTAATAAGTATCGCCTAAACCTTCCATTTTGTAGGAAGGGTAGTAGAGCTTTCGAACAAAAAATAAACCGAGTTCTTTTACCCACAGCAATTGATTTCAATATTCTAAATTTGGTTTATCCGGGAGTTTATATTTCATTTCCAGATATAAATTCATTGCAAGAATCATGAAGTGACTTTCATATAAACTGTCTTGATGACCTAGATAATGTAATATGTTGTGTTTCTTGGTAATATAGGGAAACAATAATTCTGAGCTTAATACTGAGCGAGTTATCGCTCAAGACAAATTTTAGAGGCGTAATGTTTTTTTGAAATTATGACACAACATTGAGCTGTATACACATTTATCCATTTAACTTACGTTACTGAACTATTATTACTTAAACAACTTTAAGTTTAATAAAAGTTTTCATGCCAGATGTATAATAAAAACTTGGTAACACAATTCAATGAATACGTTTCTTTATAATCTTTATTGGAAGAAAACAAGTCAAACATCAGGAAAAAAATTCAGTCTGAGCAAAAAACTCATAGCCAACATTATAATAATTTATGAGCCCAGTTTTTTGTTTAATATCCGCTGATGAACAAGTAATCTTTAAGCAAGTATACTGTTGTTCCGTCTATCCAAAGACAAAATAAGAGCTGATATATGGATTAAACAGAACAACAAGTATAATCAAGAGCTGTCATCCAAGTGACGCATGCCCCCCGAAAAGGTTTCTTAAGCATGCAGGTATTATGAAAAGAAAAGAGAATGAAAGTAACTAATTGCTGAATATTGTTTTTTGTTTAATTGTACCTGTAATCTCTTATTGTGATAGCATGAACCTTCAAAATATAAGTGTGACCTTGACCTTTGAAGAAGGGATGTGGCTCCTGGACGCGACAAAATGTTGTTATGAGATAGACATTTGTGCCAAATTATTTCAAAATCCCTCAGTGCACGACAAAGTTACAGTCTGGACATGATTGTTGTGTAAGTGGGGACAGACGGACAGACGAATATGAGCCTAAGCCGTGACACATTGTCTTGATGTGGTATCATTTGTGCCAAGTTATTTTAAAATCCTTCTATGACAAAGTTACAGTCCGGGCATGAATGTGTATCAAACTCTTATCGAGAGAACGAGTACCTTCAAACTATAAGTGTGACCTTAACCTTGAAGGTAGGGACATAGGTCTTTGTCGCAAAACATCGGTTTGATGTGGTAGACATTTATGCCTAGTCATTTTAAAATCCTTCGATGCATGTCAAAGTTACAGCCCGGACACGATCGTGTGTACCTATAAACTCTTATTGTGATAAATTGAACTTCAAATTGGTAGTGTGACCTTGACCTTTGAGGTAGAGACGTAAGTCTTAGACGCCACACATCGTCTTGATGTGGTAGACATTTATGCCCAGTTATTTTAAAATCATTCAATGCATGACAAAGTTACAGTCCGGACACGAATGTGTGCACTTATTTTCTCTAATTGCGATAATGTGAAACTTCAAAATGATAGTGTGACCTTGACCTTTGAGGTAGGGACGTAATTTTTGGACGCGACACATCGTCTTGATGTGGTAAATTTATACCTAATTATTTTAAAATCATTCAATGCATGACGAAGTTACAGTCCGGACACGAATGTGTGTAACTTTTTACTCTAATTGCGATCATGTGACGTGGTCCTTGGATGCCACACATCGTCTTGATGTGGTAGACATTTGTGCCAAGTTATTTCAAAATCTCTCAATGTATGACAAAGTTACAGTCCGGAGACGGATTAAGTGGAGACGCACAGACGGACGGACAGACGGTGCGATTATATTATGCCTCCTTTCGGGGGCATGAAAAGAATAACAGACAATGATCAGATAATTCAATTAGTTGATTTCAAATAAGAGACAAATAAAGTGAAATAAGAGGTCTGATAAATTCATTTCGTGAAAAGCACCCTAAAATTGCAGAAGAACATCAGGTTAATGCTACCGCATCCGTGTGGCTTATACCACGTTGCAGTTTAACAGCCTGGGTTTCGGACGTTTACATCCCAACTACCTTACAGGCCCGACTTACATCGAATGTTTTATATTTATAGTTTCATGACTCTTTGCGTTTTCGCACTTTTGTGCAGTTTTGAACTACATGGAATTCCATAGTACTGTGTGACATGAAAGTGTCTACTGAAATTCAAATAAATAAATGTTTGCTCAAATTTCATATTGACAGTGTATTTAGGTGTTTGGTTAGTCAATATCCTAACATGTCCACGTGAAAGAAATAACCTATGTATTTCCTATTTACTTACCAGCAATAGTATATAAACAACACATTGGTTTGTGGGCAACAGTAAAAATATCATCCCGAGGTAAATACTGTTACTAAGGCGTAGCCGAAGGTACCAGTATTTTTACGAGGGATGTTATTTTTACTGTTATTCACAAACACATGTGTTATTTTTTTATTACCCCGAACAAAAATATTGTGATGATCTGAAATTGTCAACTAAATCTAACTGTAACAAAAATAAACAGAGTAACAATAACTTAACTGACCTTTCCTTTTAATTTTTAAGTGTACCTTCGGCCTACTTGAGCAGTTTTCTTTTTCTTTTATTCTTTAAGCAGGTTATGTTATCTACTAGTCATAAACATACAATAAGCTGTATTTTATTTAGAAAACAAAACACTTAACCATTTATACGTTTATGATCCGTGAAATCTGATCCTTCTGTATCCAGAATATTCTTTGCATGACTTTTGACAAAATAACGATGATATCCTATGTGTGTTCACCAATTATCTGTAACGTTTTACTGATTACAAT